GGGTAAGACTATAAAACCTGCAGGAAAGAGCTAACAGCCTGGCTTCTTCCTAAAGCTTTTTTTTTTGGTTGTTATTGTCTTTCCTGCTGTGATCATTTTCCTAATAACCTTTAGGGACTGGTGTAGTCTCTTAGTGGCTGATTTGTTGTTGCATTTTGATAAAGCTTTTCAGTGAGGTGCCCTGGAACAAGAACACAAAAAAGTTTTAAAGACATCTATACCATATGCCAAGAAGAAGACAGCCAAAGAGCTCATATGTTCAAACAGTCATTTGCTTTTAAAACTCCAAATGCTGCAATGAGTAGAGATAAAATGCAAATGAGAACCTTGTAAACAAAGTCATTAATTGTACTGGGAAATGGTTGCCCAAGTGCTGGCTGGCAGCACAGGCAGCTCACACAGTTAAATGGAAAGAAAGAAGGGGGAAGGGAGGAGAGACTGAGAGGGAGACAGAGAGAGGAAAAGGAAGAAGAAGGGAGGGACTGAGAGGGAGAGAGTGGGAGAGGGAAGGAGAGAAAGGAATGGAGAGAAAAATAAAGGGAAAGAGAGAGAGAAGAAATGCACAATGTTCAAAAGATTCAGAGCTGGAACAGATCTTAGAAATCATCTCAATTTTGCAGATGAGGAAACTGAGAAAGGTTGAATGTCCTGTCCAAGGTCACATAGGTAGTGTCAGAGATGAGTCTGAAAACAAGGTGTTCTTTTCCCTAGACCAAACTATATTGTCTTTTTTGGCAGCACAAATTCGAGGCATGTTAAATTTTTATCTGACTACTGAAAAATAAGACCATCTAAAGACCAGCTTATTCTCTTCACTTAATTCCTATAGTACCAAGCTCTTCTTTTTAAAATTTGTTTTTAAATTCTGAATTTAAATAGCATTTCCATATATCCAGTAGAACACAAAGAGAAGATTCTATATTAACTTATAAATCTTTATTTCATACTACTTACTTTTGTTTTAAAGTATATATTATAAAATTCTATACAATACTTTCAAAACTGGGGCATCTAGGTGGTACAGGGGATAGAACTCTGGCCTTGGAGTCAAGAGGACCTGAGTTCAAATCTGACCTGAGACACTTGACACTTACTAGCTGTGTGACTCTGGGCAAGTCACTTAACCCCAATTGCCTCACCAAAAAACAAACAAACAAACAAACAAAAAACCTGTCTTGCTCTATGCTTCCTTTTTAACTTTTTTCTCTTCTGTGCATTTAAAACTGTTACATAAGCCATCTTTTTTTTTATTGGCATCACTATTACTAAGTTCTCTCTCTTCCATTTCCCATCCCAGTTAAAAACCAAGAGAAAGACAAAAAAATCTTGTCACAAATAAGTAAAGTCAAGCAAAACAAATCCACACAGTGACCATGTTTAGAAGTGTATATCTCTTTCTGCGTGTTGTGTCCATTGCCTCTTTCTGTCAGAGAGTGGGTGATTTGCTTCATTACAGATGCTCTGGAGACCTGATTGGTCATTGAATCCATCAGAGTTCTTAGTTCTTTCAAAGTTGTTTTTCTTTACAATATCACTGTCCTCATATTGTTTTTCTCATTGTGCTCACTACTCTGTCAGTTCATACTACCCAGGCTTCTATGAAATCATCTATTCACTTGTTATAGAACAAAATATTCCGTTATATTCATATACCACAATTTGTTTAACAGTTTCCCAATTATCTAAGAAGAAATCCAAGGTACTCTCTTAGATTCTAATTGTCTTCTTCCCTTTCCTCTTTTAATTTCTCTTTCAGGATCAGGAAATTTGTTTCGCTTACCTCTAATCACTCCTTAGTATTGTCCTTCCTCTTAACCCTCATCCCATACCCTCATCTGTTTCCTTGTTGAGTTTGATTTATTAATAAACCACACTGTTTACATATTGTTTTCAACCCTTTGTTCATTTCAAACAATAGTGAGGTTTATGTAATGTCTCCTTTCTTCTGTGTTTGTATGGTTTTTTCTCATGCACCCTAATTATGAGAAATAGTAAATCTGACCCCACCCCTCTTCTTTCTTTCTATAATAGTATATTCCTTTTACCCTCCTTTCTCTTTCCCCTCTTAAAAACTCTTATACCAGAACTAATACAATCCAGGATTTCTTTTTCTTTTCTTTTCTTTTTTCTTATTGAACTCTCTCAGTACCCTTTGAATACTTTGTAATATTCCTCCACCATTCTAGCCCCCTTCTCTCATTGGTGAGGTCCTTCCCAAGACACCATTTTCATGATGGTCCCAGACTGGTCATGTTCTATTTCTCTCTAAGTTATGCTTCTGACCCTAAGGACTTTGCCATCATGACTCAACTACTCCCTCACTGCGGAACTTCCCTCAGGTCTTGGGACCTTCTCATCCTCCAACATCCTTCTACCATGCCAACCCCATTATGCCATCTGGCCTTGTTTTCTTCCAGTCCTGTCAGCTTCTGAAAAACATAAGCAAAAATACTTATCAAAACTGCCAAGTCATTGACTACCTGTGTGGCCTTGGGAATGTCAATTTCACCTTTATGAATATCACTTTCCTAATTTGTAAAATTACATAATTGGACTAAATTAACTCTAATATTCCTTCCAGTTCTGACATCTGAAGTCCTAATTTAGAGGGACTCAGAGGATCCCTCTCCGTTGGAGATCTGTTGATTTTATAATGAAAGCATTAAGGAAGTTCTGGGGATTGTTTTTGCTTAGAAGAGAGAACAGTATGAAGTTTCCTTTTTTTGTCTAGCCAATCAGTTAATAAACATTTTTGAAGTGCCAGCTGTGTGCCAGGCATCGTGGTAAGCACTGGTTTGCAGAGAGATGCTTATTTGCACAGATCTTTCTCTCCTTTCTTTTTTCCTCTTACCCTTTGTCCCCTTTTCCCTCTCTCTGAACAGTAATGAACCATTCATAAATGTTAGGCACTTTGTACATGGTGCTATATTAAGTGCTTACTGTTGTTGTTCGGTCACGTCCAACTCCTTGTGTCTCTGTGAACCATACCGTCCATGGGGTTTTCTTGGCAAAGGTATTGGAGTGGCTTGCCATTTCCTTTTCTGGTAGATTAAGGCGAACAGAGGTTAAGTGACTTGCCCAGGTTGACACAATTAGCTAGGTCTTCCTGCCTCCAGACCCAGTGCTCTGTCCACTGAGCCATCTAGCAGCCTGCTAAATGGTTAGGAAGATGCAAAGGGAGGTAGGTGCCAGATTGTGGAAGTCCTTAAAGAAAAGGCAGGATGTTGCCAGAAAGAAAGTGTATAGAGGAGGATCTTCCGGTGTCTGTAATAACTCTAGCGAAAGGGGGGGAATCAGGATGAGCTTGGAGAACTCTAAGCAGTCCTGCTTAGAGGACGCGTGGAGTATTGATGAAAGAGAATAGTGTGAGATAAAAATGGAAAGGCATAAAATCATAGACTCATAGAATTTTAAACCTAGATAAGATGGAGGTCCAACCTCCTCATTTTATAGTTGAGGATACTAAGGCCCAGAGAAGAAAAATGATTTATTCAGACTTCATAGTTAGTGGTAAAGCTGGGACTAGAAGTCCTCATTCAACCATGCCTTTCCTAAGATGGCACCAAGTTGTGAATGATGACAGGCTAATTCAAATGAAGTTGCATCAATAAACATTTGTCAGTTATCTACTTTGTGCCGGTCACTATACTATGTGCCAGGAGATACAAAGGAAAAACAAGAGAGTTCCTGCCCTCAAGGGGCTTACATTCTGCTGGATGATATGGCGCATAAACATAAAATTAAATAGAGGGTAATTTATTAAAGGAAAAAGCACTAACAAGGGGACTGCAAGAAAGGGATGGGGAATTAGGGAAGACCTCACAGAGAAAGCAACACCTGAGCTGGATCTTGAAAGGAAATAAAAATTTTGAAAGCCTGAGCTGAGGAGAGAGTGTATTCCTGACTCCCTCTACCTTTCATGTCTTCTTATACCTTATAATCCACCCTATACTCTTCATTCCAGTGACACTGGCCTCTTGGCTGTTCCTCGAACAAATTGCTAGAACTAGGGTGAACTCTTGGCTCTGGGCCTTTCCATTGGCTGTTTCTCATATCTGAAATGTTCTTCCTCCTCATCTTCTTCTCCTGGCTTCCCTAGATTCCTTCAACACCTTTTACAGGACCCCTTTACCAACTCCTCTTAATTCTAGTGCCTTTCCTTTCTTGATTATTTTCTATATATCCTGCATGTGTCTTTTTTTGTACGCAGTATTTTCATGTTGTCTCTTTTTTGTACATAGTTGTTTGGATGCTATCTCCATTAGATTGTGGGTTTCTTGAAGGCAGGAGCTGTCTTTTGCCTTTCTTTGTATGTCCAGACATCGGTACAGGACACTGAATGTCAAACAGTGCAGAGAGGAAAAAGTAGAAGCAAGGACACTAATTAGGAGATGATTACAATAGTCTAGGTGAATGATTATGAGGGCCTTAACAAGATGGTATCCATTTAAGTACAGAGAGATATTCTGGATATAGAATTGGACATGGGGACCACAAAATAAGGAAGAATCTGAGGATGATGGTACCCTCAATAGAAATAGGAAAGTTTTGAGGAATGAACTTAGGGGAGAAGATAAGTTCAATTTTGAACATGTTGAATTTGAGTTCATTCTAAGATGGAAATGTCCAACGGGAAGCTGGTAATGCACAATCCAAGTTCTGAAAAGGCTTTGGGGTTGAGTTTATAGGTTAATCAATTTTAACTTCAATAGACATTGGGGAATGATTGAATGATATGATTTTAGTGGTGTGCAGTAAGATTATCTGGAAGTGGGGTATAGAATGGATTGGAGAGGGGGCTCAAGAGGAGGTGGAAAGATCTATTAGGAGACTACCATGATAATCCAGGTGAAATGTAAAGACAGCCTGAACTAGGGTGATGAGAAGGAGAAGATAAGTGTCCAGTAGCTTATGGATGTATCTGTAGGATTTGGTAATTATTTGGGTTTGGAAAATTCTCTTTTAATATTTTTTTTCTTAATCTTGTCATTTCTCTCCAGTGGCCAGGTTTTAAATGCTCTCCCTCGAACAACCAAACAAGTCAGAACTCTCCAGAACATGACAATGACATTTGAGGTAATTTTACTCACAATGGCCATTACATCAATTTTCTTTGACAAGCTTCATGTTTAGTGTTTTCCCTATATAATATCTGGTGCATTTACACTTAGCTTTTCCCACTCCTGCCTGAGACAGAGTCTCTCTGTGTGATCCTGTGTAAGTCAATGAACCTCTCAGTGCTCTAGGAAATTCTCCAAGACTCTAAGTTGCAGAGAAGGTGCCAACCTGCATTGATAGGTCTTCCCTGGGGTATTGTTATTGCCATGAAATCATAGGTCCAGTCTCCACCCCCCTTTTCACAACTCCTTGATTTATTTGCTCAGAAAGATGAAAGAACATTTTATTGTGTATTGGCATATTCATCAGTTTCACTATTTTGCATTGAGTTGGAATTCAGGCCTTCAGAGAGATGCCATCAGACCCTCACTATCCAGATCACTCACATTAGTCCCAGGGAGCATCCTGAGGCTTTAGTCCTTTACTGCTTCAAGGGACACATGAGTGAATTGCTTCTTTTTTCAAGAGGTATACTGCTCAGGAACCCCCTCTCTATCTCGAAAAGTCTTGATTCCAGGATCATGTAATCTAGCAGAAAATTTCCTTCTTCCTCTAACAAGAAGTTGGGATGGGGGAAAGTAGGGTACATGTTCTCCAAGACTTGTCCTCTTAGGTATGTGAGGACATTAAATTTTCACATGTTTCTGTTCCAAGTCAGCCTTTAATGACCATAGGTGGGAAAAATTGTGCCACTCCAGAAGGAAGGTCCTCTCTGCTAAACCCTGGTCTGTCCTTCAAAAAGCAAAATGGTTAAAAAGAAAAAAAGATACTACATGTAGGTCAATGATAAAAAGAAAGTTCCCATATACATCAAAATATTTATAGCAGCATTTTTTTGTAGTACTAAATGTAGGGAAGGGATTTGACCTATGCTTTCTCTGGTATAGAAACTCACTAGTAAGGAAACTCCCTCTACTAATGCAGGTTAGTATCTCCTCTGAAAGTTAGAGAACTCTCTTAGAGAGTCATCTAAACACAGTTTCTTAAACTTAAACTTCTTAAACTTAAACCCCATGTGGGGTTGTGACCCACAGTTTAAGAAGCACTGAATGGGTTATGAGTGGAAAAAGTTTAAGAATCTCTGAATTCTAAAGCCCTGAAAAGTTGAGTGACTTGCCCAAGGTCGAACAGATTATATTCACAGCAGGACTGTGAACCCAAGTCTTTCTGGCTCCAAGGTCAGTTTTCTCTCCACTACTCCAGACAGCTTTTTATAGTATCAAAGACCTGGAAATAAAGTAAATATTCAGTGATCTAGGAATAGCTAAAGAAATTGTAGCATATGAATGTATGGCTCTGTAAGAGAAAGTGATACGATGAATACAAAGTTGCGTGAGAAGATTTATATGCACTGATGCACCGTGAAGTAAACAGAACCAAGAAAATGATATACACGCTGACCAAACAGTATTACTGGAAAGAACAACAAATCAAAGGAAGCTAAATCTGTGAAATTGTTACGACCACACCTGGACCTCAGAAGAGATGTGAGAATGCACTTCCCTTTCTTCTTTGCAAAGGGGTGGAGATGGAGAGACTGTGGAGGTAGAACAGTGCACATGATGTTGGATTTGGTCAATGTGGTAGTCAGTCTTGATGAACTGGTTGTCTTTTTTTTTGTGTGTTACAAGGGATAGCTCCCTGGGAGGGGAAAGAGAAAGGAGACATTGGGAAAGATAGGTAATATCAATTTAAAAGGAACCAAGAGCAGTTTGTCCTCTTTTAGAAGTCAGCACAGAGGGGTGGTTCCTCAGACAAAGTCTATCACCCCAAGCATTAACAATCAATGTAGTCTGACTGACTTTGGAGTCAGAAAGCCCTAAACTGAATCTTGCCTCTTTCACTTACTACCTGTTTGACCTCCCTAATGTATGTATGGATAATTAGACATTCTAAGCAAAGACTCACCTCCTGATAAGCTCATCAGAATGATTAGAGTGAAACAACTCTACCCCCCATATTTATATGAACTGTTCCTACATTAAACTTTTACCTTCTCTCTTCATTTGACATCCTTCTCTTTATCATTGCACCAAGAGAATATATTTGGATGATGACCAGGGGGTATGTTGCAGAGCCATCACTAGGGTACAAGGATCATGGATTTATCCCAAGACATTACATTTAAAGGGTGCCAACTCTGAAAAATAAATTATCAAAGAAATCACAGAGGCTGTAAGGAAAAAGCTTTATACCAACTGTCAATTCTGAAAAATAAAATACCAAAAAGCTCACAGAGGCTGTAGGCAAAAAGCCTTCTTTATTCCATTGGAGGAGGGAAACTAGATAGGCACTCTGGGGCCTGGTCTAGGCCCAAGGAGGCCTAAGGCAGCAAGGCTAAGCCTTGATACATATCAAGGTGGCAAAGTGTCAAGACACGAAGAATCAAGTGAGGTGTAACAGCAGCAGTGTTTGCCTAGTGACAAAAAGCCTATTCATAGCAGGGCTTCATGACTGGAATGTGGTTCCTGCAGGTGCTTGCCCCAGCTTGGGGGGCCACCTGGGCCTGGGTTGAGCCAATCCTGTGATTGAGCTGCAACAGAGTTCATCCAGAGGGTGAGAGCAAAGGATTGTTATTATCCCAAGCTCGGGTACAGCTTACTTGCTGGGCCTTAACTCTGGCAAACAAAGTGTCTCCTAATAATAAGAAAAGAGAGGAGTAGTCTTAATGTGGAGGTACTGACAGGAGCAATGATGACACTTTAATTTTTTTTAACAGCTGAGAAATAACAGAATAATTAGTTAAAATGGATGCTTTCTCTTCTTTCCCTCTATGGTCACAACCAAGTGAGTTTTTCCCCACTGAGTCTGCTCTGCTCTCCATCTCTACCACTCTATCTCACTTTCTGAGATTTCCTCATGCTGCTTGTCCTAGATTTGGTTTGTACTACTTGCCCTGAGCACAAAAATTGATAGTTACTGCTTTAATATCATGGGACTCTTGTCTACTTACTCTCATGTTTTCACCTACTGAAGGGTGACAAAGTGTGTGTCTTACTTTTGTTATTGAAAAATGGCAGGTTGTTCTCTGGAAGCCAGAAGATGTGGAGTTCATTAAAAAGTCAGAAGAAGTCCATTTCTATGTCAATGATTCTCATTTGGACAGAGTGAAAACCTTTTTAAGCCAGAACACAATCAAATTCAGGTAGGGTCACCGTTGCTTGTTGGAAAAGCAGAAGCCCCATATCAAAACTCACTGAATCTACCGTGAAACCTTGGGTGGGAAAGTCACTTAGTTTTTCTAGACCCCAGATCCTCATCTGAAAAAGGAGGCTATTCAAATCAGCTGATCTCTAAGGTGTCTTCTGGTTAAACATTTTAAGATTCTAAGTTCAAGCTGAGGAGACAAAGTTTTTTTTTTTCCATTTCAGCACGTACTTTTCTAAAAAAAAGAATCTATGGCTGAAGGGATTTGGGTTTTATTCTGTCCCTGTACCTTAAGATCAACCAATTCTCTTGAAAGCGCTGTCCTAGATATAATCATGTGGCTGATGAAGTTTGTCACAGTCTCTTCAGACCTTCCTTTGTGTCCCCTTAATCCTATTTGGTATCACTCTCTTCCCTCCTCCAACCTTTGCCCCTGATTCTCCATGTCTTCATCCTGTCTTCAGGCTGGCCAGTCCAGTGCTCCAAACAGCATTCCATCAGAACCCTCATTTCCTCCATTAAAGCTCACCTGATTATAGGTTATTTCCCTGGGATACTACTCTGTGTTATTTGAAAATGGTGGCAATGGCTTAACCCAGTTGCAATGTAGCCTCATAAAAAAGTCCCATACTTAGAGAGTGCCTTTATTGGAAGGAATAATTTTGGTGGGAGGGTGACTGTCAGATATTAAGTAGATGTCAAATCCCACCACAAAGAAGAAAGATTTTTAAAGTTTTCTGTGTATAATAGCTCCCTTTGGCAGTAGCTGAAACCTATGGATCCCCTTCTTAGCATAATATTTTAAAATGCATAAAATACATAGCATTACGAAGGAAACCAATGATATTGAAATATTGGCATCAAAATAAAAAAAACAACAACCAACAACCAAGTTCATGGACCCCAGGTTAAGAAACCCTGATATAGGGAATGCTTTCTATTTATGCAGGTGAATGGCTAAAAGGCTATGTGAATTCCTTAATAGATGTTTGCTCTGTACAAAGCACTATGCTAGGTGCTGAGGGGGAAATATAAAGATCCCTGCACCAATGAAACTTAATTCCTCTTCTTGTTGGCTTTATTTTGAGAAACTTTCTGTTACCATTGGACTTTCTTGAACTCACATTTTCCTATCTGGAAAATGGGGATAATGATTGCTATTCTGCCTACCTCACAGGGTTATTGTTAGCCAAGGAGTTCATATTTATTAATGTAGTCTTAGGCTATAAAGCATATGACAAATACTTGGAACGACGGGTCATAGTAATAGTAGTGATAGTAGACATCACAATAGTAATAATCATACTAGTGATGGCGGTGATGATTAATGTACCACTAATACTAGTGGTAGTAGTCATGGTCATAGTAGTAGTAATAGCTAACACTGATATAGTGCTTTAAGCTTTGCAAAGTGCTGTGGAAGGGAGGGCTATTATTAATCATATTTTACAGATAATAAAACTGAGGCAGCAGAGATTAAGTGGCTTCCCCAGGGTCATATAGCTAGGAAATGTCTATGCTCACATTTGAACTCAGAGCTCAAGTGATTGTAATTAGAGTTATAGTAGTCATACCAGTAGTAGTTGGGTGGTAGTGGTAATGGTGGTATTAGTCTTAATCACCATGATGGTCTTTTCTAGGAAAAGCACACTGTTTTGCCTTCCCTAGGCACAGCAAATTGTCTTGGGAAACCAACTAATAATTTGTCTTTTATAACAGCGTACTGGTAGAAGATGTTGAAGACCTTGTTAGAAAACAAACCATCAATGACACATTTGACTCCGAGAAAACCCTCAATGGTACATTTAGTCCCCGGACCCCTTCATCATACTACCAACGATATCATTCACTATCTGAAGTAAGTCCCACCTTCTCCCATAAAGTGATATTATGGTCATTATATCAAGCAAAGAAATTTCCCCAAAAGGATAATTTATTGTTGTTACTATAGAACCACTGGGGAAAATCATACCTACATTGATTAAGTTAAAGCAACTCATATTTCTGGCATCTTTCATCCAAAAAGACTACAGTTATTTATACTCTGCAAACTGCCTTGCCAGAGTGTCTTCTCCCATTGCTGAAATTCAGCTGCCTCTAGAAGAGTAGCAGCAGCAGCGGCGGTGGCAGGCTATAGCAGCATTATAGGGGTAATGCTGTTGTTGTTGTTTGTCCTTTTCTGTTTTTTTTTTAAAGGCAATTGGGGTTAAGTGACTTGCCCAGGGTCACACAGCTAGTAAGTGTCAAGTGTTTGGTCGGATTTGAACTCAGATCCTCCTGACTTCAGGGTTGGCACTCTAACCACTGCGCCACCTAGCTGCCCCTTGTCCTTTGTTCTTGAAGAGGACCATGACATCAGGAAGGTGATGCCATGACTTACATGTGAATTGGATTTAAGTGACAGATGGCTGTGCAAAGTCACCAGCCTCACTTTCTCCTCCAGAACCATTTGGTCCAGTGGCAAGAAATACAACAGGTCTAAGACAATTTCAGAAGACTCATGATGGAAAAAGCTATCCACATCCAGAGAAAGAACTATGGAGTCTGAATGCGGATCGAAGCATACTATTTTCTTTTTTTTTTTTTTTGGTTTGTTTCTTCTTTCTCATGGTTTTCCCTTTTGGTTCTAATTCTTCTTTACAACATGACTAATATGGAAATATATTTAATATGACTGTACATGTATAGCCTGTATCAGATTGCATACCATCTTGGGGAGGGAGAGAAAATTTAGAACTCAAAATCTTATAGAAGTGAATGTTGAAAACTAAAAACAAATTAATAGTTAAAAAAAGATATAAATCAGGACAACTGGAAACGCAGTGGGAGACTTACATGGAGGGGGAAGACTAGACCTGGCCTTTTTTATTAAAATGCATGCAGAGAATGCCAGTTGAAGAAATATCATCCCTTATTCACACTGGCTTAGAGCTAGTGCCCTGGAATCAACACTTCAATCCTTACTGAGAGACTGATTTTTGTATATATTTTCTATGTAAATATCTATGTATCTATGTATATGTAATGGGCCATCCCAAGGACCATAGGCAGAGCTGCCCTTCCTGCTTCTGGCCAACTTTGCACATGGGTGTATTGGGAATGAATAGCCCTGGGAAGCATCTGGTTATATGTAACTCAGCATGGAAGTACTTGTGCTTTGAGATGATGAAGCAATTACCTAACTGGTCACTGAGCAGGAGGAATTAACATCCCCTGGCTTTCATCTTCTCTGTGGACTGAACTAGTTCTTGTGAGAGATAGGAGGAAGGTCAGCTCACTCTATCCCTTATCTAGCAGCTGTGGCTTTGAGCCCTGGAAGCTAGGAGCAGAAGGCCCCAACTAAAGTCCTGGGGCAGAGCCTTAGGGGGCAGCTACTACTGGGGCTGAGATGTGGATGACCATCTAGCCAAGGAGTCTAAGAAGGAGTGGTCAGCCAGGTAGAAGAACCAGGAATGAGCAATGTCTTGAAAGCCAAGTGTATAGATATTCAAGAATAGAGAGTTAACAGTGTCAAAAGCTACAGAACGGGAAAGATGCATAAAGACTACACAGATGCATAGATTTTCTTAGTGGGAGGGAGAGGAAACATAGATTAAAAAAGAAAAACAGATTTGTATTTCTATTAGATTAAATGAAATTAGATTTTTATTGGATTAAATGAAAAAAATTTAATGCACTGAGAACAAAAGCAACAATGTTGGCCTTAAACCCTCAAACATCTAGTCACTGCTCCTGTCTGACTTTTCAAACCCTATTTTCAAAATCTGATTTAAAAAAAAAATTCTGAACTTAGTCAACAGCAAAGAAGACGAGCATTTCTATGTGCAAAGAAGAACAGAAAGAGAGACTTTCACATGAAGCTGTGAATCTGTATTCTTTTTTAAGTCTATATTAATGAAATGTTATTTTCAGAACTGTCCTGCTGGTCTGTTTTTTCCTACTGACTTTCATTCTGTTCTTTTATTCATTTAAAAAAAAGTCCCCCGATCTGATTTTCATAATTTTTTTTTATTGCTGGCTCTCCTCTTTCTCTCTCTCCCCCCACCATAGCTACCCCCATATTTAAAGATAGAAAAATAAAACCCTTGTATTAGATATGCAGAGTAAAGTGAAACAAAGCCATATATGCAAATGTGTGTCTCATTTTGAACCTTGGGGATCATCACATTTCCAATCCTTTGGAATTATAGTTTGTTACCATATTGATTAGAGTTCTTAAATTTTTCAAAGTTATTTTTTCTTTACAATATCTTTTTTTTTTCCTGGTGAGGCAATCAGGTAGTTAAGTGACTTGCCAAGGGTCACACAGCTAGTATCAAGTGTCTGAAGTTAGATTTGAACTCAGTTCCTCCCGACTCCAGGGCCAGTGCTCCATCCTCTGCGCCACCTAGCTGCCCCTAGACTGTTTTTTAAAACTGACTGCACCTCTCTGTGCTAATTGGAATACTGTCCTGGTACCAGTGGCCCTCTAGTGGAGAAATGATATTTTTGCCTGTCTTGTTGGGAGCATTAGGTTTTCCACAGTACACGTATTTCCTTAGGCTAAACCCCTCCCCCCAGTCACCCCAAAATGCTTTCTTCATGACACTTCTTTATAGAATTATTGATGAAGAGATTACTTAGCATAACCACCTCATTCATGACAGACAAATCAGAAAGCTACTGACATTTTCCCTGAAGGTCACATATGTGGAAGAACTTAGGAATTGTAGAGATGGATTTCTTACACAAAGGTATTGATTCTTTGTGAAGAAACTTTTCATAACTTTTCCTTCTTAAAAATTTTTTATAAAATGTTAATAAGTTTTAGGAGCCAAAATACTTATAAGCACTAATTCATTTTTCTTATTTGGTATAGTGGATAGAGCAATGGATTTAGAGGCAGAGGAACTGGGTTTAAATCCTGCCTTTGAAATTTAGTTGCCATTTGAGCAAGTAAATGTCACCCCTTAGGAGTTCAGTTTCTTAATCCATAGAATGAGGGGATTCAATTAGATCATCTAAGTCATTTCCAACTATCAATTTCTGATCCTATGATCTTGACTTTCTTAGGAGTTCTCCACTTCCTCTAATATCACCTATATAATGTTCAATTCTTTTTCACTCATTTATTTTCCTCTGGGAAAAAAAAAACCAAACAAACCAAAATCCCCTCCCCCCCATCTTCTCTACTGTGCAAAATGATTTGAGAATTCACCTACTTCTGCTGAAGAAGCTATGTTCTTCCTGTGGTCCACTAAATTACATGGTATTGTCTATTGCCTTTGCAACCTGAAACTTTATTAGCTAATTGCTCATTTCTATTTTGGCAGATTTATTATTGGATAGATTTTATGACTGAGACACATGCTGATATGCTTGAAAGAATACACATTGGATCCTCATTTGAGAAGAGACCACTTTATGTTTTGAAGGTAACCTTTCGAAAAAGTAATTGCTCTGTCATTTTGTGTGTGTGTGTGGGGGGAAAGGTAAAGATTCTCAGTGAAAGATTACTGTCAGCTTAAACATTCATTTTCTTCAATCAAACAGCCAATCAACAACTATTTAAGTGGCTATCACATTCCAGGCATCGTGCTAAAAATCGGGGATAAAAGGACAAAAGAGAATAGTCCCTGCCCTCAAAGAACTTACGTTTTAATGGGGGAGATAACATGTGCATATATCAGCATGTTTGGAATATATACAAAATGAGTAAAGGCCATTTTGAGAGATTCTGTCTCTCCCTTCACAGTTTTTCTTCTATTTTATTCAAAAGCCCTCATGGAAGAGAACTAGAGTTATCCCCTCACCATTCTGTTACTGTAGTTTTCATTTGCAAAGGAAGGGAAGGAGGCAAGCCAGACTTTGTAGGGCAACAGTCTGGATACTCAGGACAGATCTGAAGATCCTAGAGATCCCAGTGTTCCTAGGAGCGAGCCTTAAAAGCCTTTGATTCTTTCTACCCAAACTGTCCATGGACCAATCTACATACTCTCAGTTTAGAACCCAGACCTTTTCAAGGCTTACACCTTAATACTGCTTCTAAACTCTGAATGAGCAAGAACGGTCTTTTGCTTGATGAAATTCCACTCCTAAATAATGAAAATAGCTGTCTGAGTCTTTCTTTCAAAACTTACATTTAAATGATTTAACAAGATATTAGATGAATAGAATTGAACACATAATTTTCGACATGTACCAAACTAGGTACTGGGATATAAAGACAAAAATAAAATGATCCCTGACTTTAAGGAGCTTACATTCTATTAGAGGGAATGACATGTACATAAAATTTAAAAAATATTTTATTTTTCCAATTACATGAAAAATAATTTTTAACAATTCATTTTTAAAAATCATGAGTTCCAAATTCTCTCCTCCAGCCTCCCCACTCACTGAGAAGGTAAGCAATTTGATACAGGTTATACATGTACTGTCATGCAAAACATATGTTCATATTAGTAGTGTTGTGAAAGAAAATACAGAAAAAACCATCAAGAAAAATGAAGTAAAAAAAAAGTATGTTTCAATATGCATTCAAAATACTCTCAAGAAAAATAAAGTGAAAAAAAGGTATGTTTTGATCTGCATTCTGACTACATAATTTTTTCTCTGAAGGTCGATAGTGTTATTCATTGTAAGTCCTTAGGAACTACAACTTTGCTAAAATTGTTAATTATTTCAATTAGGTTTTTAGTTGATTCTCTAGCATTTTCCAAGTATATCATTAAATCACCTGCAAAGAGTGGTAATTTCGTTTTCTCATTGCCTATGCTAATTCCTTAAATTTTTTTCTCCTTTTATTGCTATAGTTAGCATTTATAGAATAATATTGAATAACAGTGGTGATAATGGGCATCCTTGTTTCACCCCTGATCTTACTGGGAAGGCTTCTAGCTTATACCAATTAGAGATAATGCTTACTGATGATTTTAGATAGATACTGCTTATCATTTTAAGGAAAGCTTATCAATTTCTATGTTTTCTAGTGTTTTTGATAAGAATCATTGTTATATTTTGTCCTTCCTTTTCCAAGCTATTGACTCTCTCTTGCATACCTCTCATTTCTTTTCCCATTTTTTCTTCTACCTTTCTCATTTGACTTTTAAAATCCTTCTTGAGCTCTTCTAAGAAGGATTTTTGGGCTTCAGACCAGTTCATATTCCCTTTTGAGGTTCCAGATGTGGGTTTGTTGACAATGTCCTCTTCAGAATTTCTGCCTTGATCTTCATTCTTCCCATAATAAGAATCTATCATATGTTTCTATTTGCTCATGGTGTTTGCTTTTTTCCTGGCCCTTAAAGAGATTGAGCTCTCCTCCTGGGGAGCAGAGGGCACTGACCCAAGCCCCTTGTGCTGGGAGGTAGGGCCTGGTTACTGGTTTTGTGTGCTGGGGCTTCCAGTGTTGGCAGTTGGAGTCTGTAGGGTTCTGGCAGCTTACCTGGTGTTGGGCTGGAATCAGCCACACTGGAACTCTAGGGATAGGATTGGGTAGTGTGGCTCCTAGAGATTTCTTGCTCACCTGGGCCTTTCCTTCCTTTTGCTTTCTTCAGCTCCTTTCAGATGGATGTTGCAGGATGTTTATCCACCTGGGGCCCCTTGGAGTGCTGCTTCTCTTAGTTTGCTGAGGTACTGGGAGAGCCAGTTGCTATAGAATGCTGAGGCACCTGGTGGTGTTCCAAGCTGGTTTCCACTAGTTCTCCCTCCCTCACTGAGGCACTCGGGGGTCCAGGTGTTGGTGTTTGCCTGCTCTACCACCTAGGTTTCAGGACCTCCTTCTGGTATGCTGAGGTGAGGCTTTCTGCTGGTTGGCTGGATTGCTTCCCATTCTGTACTATTCCCCTTCCCCCAGAGCAAGAGAGACCTTTCCTGTTAATCCCTCAAGCTATGTGGGCTATTGGACTGCTGCACCCCATCTTTCTTCTGGTTCAGCCATTCCAGGGTTTTTCCTGGGGTGATATTTTCTGGGCTTTCAGAGGTTAATAAGGAAGAATAAGAATGACTTACTTCTTACTCCACCATCTTGGCTCCCAGAAGCAGAAGTCCAGTGTTATATTTTGTCAAAAGCTTTTTCTGCATCTATTGAGATAATCATGTGATTTCTGTTGGGTTTGTTATTGATAAGGTTTTTGATATTAATATGAACCAGCCTTGCATTCCTGGTATAAATCCTACCTGGTCATAGTGTATGATCTTTGTGATATTGTACTGTATTCTCCTTGTTAGTATTTTATTTAATTTTTTTTGCATCAAAATTCATTAGGGGAATTTCTGCTTTTGTTCTTTCAGGTTTAGTTATTAGTACATATTTGTGTCATAAAAGGAATCTGGTAGGACTCCTTCTTTGCCTGTTTTTCCAAATAGTTTATGCAATGGAATTAGTTGTTCTTTAAATGTTTTGTATAATTCATTTCTGAATTATACATCTGGTCCAGGACTTTTTCTTAGGAAGCTCATTGGTGATTTGTTCAATTTCTTTTTCTAAGATAGGGTTATTTAAATATTCTATTTCCTCCTCTGTTAATCTGGGCAATTTTTGTAAATATTCATTCATTTCACTTAGATTGTTAGATTTATTTGGTATATAACTGGGCAAAACAGCTCCTGATAATTGCTTTTATTTCATATTCATTGGTGGTGAATTCACACTTTTCATTTTTGGTATGAGCAATTTGGCCTTTTATTTTTCAGTCAAAATAACTATCCATATAACTATTCTGTTGGGGTTTTTTTTCTAATAAAACTAGCTCCTAGTTTTACCTATTAGTTCAATGGTTTTTTTACTTTCAATTTTATTAATCTCTCCTTTGTTTTTTGGGATTTCTGTTCTTTTTTTAGGCAATTGAGGTTAAGTGTCTTGCCCAGAGTCACACAGCTAGTAAGTATCAAGTGTTTGGTCTGAGGCCTGATTTGAACTCAGGTCCTCCTGACTCCAGGGCCGGTGCTCTATCCATTGTGCCATCTAGCTGCCCCAATTTTCAGGATTTCTAATTTGGTGCTAAATTGGGAATTTTTAATTTGTTCTTTTTCTAGTTTTTAAAAATTTAGTTGTATGGCCAATTCACTGATTTGCTCTTTCTCTCTTTTATTGATGTACACTTTTAGAGATATAAATTTTCCCCTAAGTGTTGCTTTGGCTGCATTCTGTTAATATTAGCATGTTGTGGGGGCAGCTAGGTGGCACTGTGGAGAGAGCACTGGCCCTGGATTCAGGAGGACCTGAGTTCAAATCCGGCCTCAGACACATAACAATTATTAGCTGTGTGACCCTGGGCAAGTCACTTAACCGAACTGCCTAACCCCCCCCCAATATTAGTATGTTGTCTCATTGTTGTCATTCTCTTTAATGACATTACTTATTGTTTCTATGATTTGTTCTTTGATCTATTCATTCTTTAGGATTAGATTATTTAGTTTCCAATTAATTTTTAATCTATGTTTCCATAGCCCTTTATTGAATGTAATTTTATTGCATATTATCTGAAAAGAAAGCATTTAATATTTCTGCTTTGGAGCATTTGGTTGTGAGGTTTTTACTCCCTAATACATAGTCAATTTTTTGTGTAGTTGCCATGTACAGCTGAGAAAAAGGTATATTTCTTTCTATTCCATTCAATTTTCTGCAGAGGTCTATCATATCTAACCTCTAAAATTCTTTTCATTCCCTTAACTTCTTTCTTTTTGGTTTATTTTTTGGTTAGATTTATGTAGTTCTGAAAGGGGAAATGCTAGGTCCTCCAATAGTATATTTTACTGTCTATTTCCTCCTGTAACTCATTTAACTTTTTTAAAAAAGAATTTGGATGCTATGCCATTTGGTGCATATATGTTTAGTGTTGATATAACTTCATTGTCGATGGTGCCTTTCAGCAAAATGTAGTTTCACTGCATATCTCTTTTTAAATTAGATCTGGTTTTGCTTTTGCTTTATCTGAGATCATAATTGCTACCCCTGAGTTTTTTCTAACTTCAGCTGAAGTATAATAGATTCGGCTCCAGCCCCTTATTTTTACTGTTTTTGTCTCTCTGCTTCAAGAATGTTTCTTGTAAACAGCATATTGTAGGATTCTGGTTTTTAATCCACTCTGCTATCCACTTCCATTTTCTGGGTGAGATCATCCCATTCACATGTACAATTATGATTACTAACTGTATACTTCCTACCATCCTGCTTCTCTCCCCTCCTCTTCTGCCCCATTTATCTCTCTCTCTCCTTTCACCCTATCCCTCCTCAGAACTGTTTTGCTTCTGACCACTGCCTCCCCCAATATGCCCTCAGCCCCATCCCTTCTATTATCCCCTTCCCCTCCTACTTCTTGCATCATAAGACAGATTTCTATATCCAACTGAGTGTGTATGTTATTCTCTATTTGAGCCAATGCTGATGAGAGTAAGGTTCAAGCATTGCCCATCACTCTGCTCCCACTATCTTCCTCTCCACTGTAAAAGCTCTTTTGCTCCTCTTTTATGTGAAATAATTTACTCCATTCTACCTCTCCCTTCTCCCAGCACATTCCACTTCCTCACCCCTTAATTTTAATTTTTTATATCATCCCATCATAGTCAACTCACACTCGTGCCCTTTCTCTATGTATACTTTTTCTAACTGCCCTAATAATGATAAAGCTCCTAAGAGTTACAAGTATCATCTTTCTGTGTAGGAATGTAAACAGTTTAACCTTATTGAATCCCGTATGTTTTCACTTTCCTGTTTACCTTTTTTTAAATCCTTCTCTTGATCTTTTATTTGAAAATCAAATTTTCTGTTTAGGTCTGGTCTTTTCAACAGGAATTCTTGAAACTTCTCTATTTCATTGAATATCCTTTTTTTTGGGGGGGGGCGAGTGGTGCAGGCATCGGGGTTAAGTGACTTGCCCAGGGTCACACAGCTAGTAAGTGTCAAGTGTCTACTCTGAGACTGGTTTTGAACTCAGGCCCTCCTGAATCCAGGGCCAGTGCTCTATCCACTGTACCACCTAGCTGCCCCAGAATATCCATTCTCCTACATAAGAATTAAATACAAAATATGTACAAAATAATGTCCAGAGTCATGGTAAAAGTTTAATACAAAGGGCAGCTTGTCAACAATGCAAATGGAATTTCAGAGGCACCCATAAGATAGGTCTAGCATGTATGGGTATGAGAGACTTTATGCAGAGCCTCCATGTCCTTGTAAAACTTAAAAGAAAATAAATTAGATCCTGTTTTCTTTTACTTTATTCCCTTCCTCATGAATTGAGGAACACAGAAAAATGAGCATCTTCCTTTATACTGTGATTTAGTTTTATTATCTTAAACAAGGAAGACCTGAGTTCAAATCCTGATTCAGACACTTACTATCTGAGTGACCCTGGGCAAGTCACTTAACCACTCTTAGCATTTATTTCCTCTTCTGTAAAATGGGGATAATAATGGCACCTACTTCCTAGGGTTATTTTGAGCATCAATGTGCAAAGCACATTGTAAACTTAAAGAGCTATGCAAATGCTAACATTTATTTTTATTTTTTATATTTTATATATTTATATACCATATACATTTATGTTTGTTATATATTATTATATTATTAATAATAAGTAACTAAATTGGTTTATTGTTGTCGGGAAGACCACCTCAGCAGCAACTATAATAGAAACGAAAATTTTTTTTTCCATTTGTTAGCCATGGTGTAGCGTGGCAACAGCACTGGATTTAGGTACTCCCAAAATGTAGCATAGGACCTGTCATATGGTTGCACCCTGTGCTAAAGGATAGTTGTTGGGTTCAAATATTAACCTATGTGACCTTGTTAAAGTCACTTTAGTTCTTTGGGTCTTGTTTCTAATTCATAAAGTGAAGGGATTAGACTAGGTGATTTCTAATTCCTTCTAGATCTCAGTACTACAATTTTTTTTTACTTAATAATAGCTGGCCTTTATATAGCACTTTAAATTTTACAAAACATTTTACAAACATTCTTATGATCACAACATCAGGACTTCAGGAAATATTTTTTAAATTGTATTTTTTTTCTGATGAACAACCATTTATTTTCTTTCCCACCTCATTCCCTGTCGAACAATAAAAAAAGAAAACCCTTATAAAACATGCATAGTCAAGCAAATAAAATTCCTGTATCTGTCATATTTAAAAATATATCTGTCATTCTGCATTTTAAATCCATCATCTTTCTGGTTGCATGCTTCATCTTTGGTCCTTTGGAATTGTGGTTTGTTATTGCCTTGATCAGAGTTCTAAAGTTTTTATAATGCTATTGTTCTCCTAATTCTGCTCACTTCACTCTGAATCAGTTCATAGAAGTCTTGCCAGTTTCTTATGAAACTGTCCATTTCATCATTTCTTATGACACAATAATAGCCTGATATATCTTAGGATTCTGAACGTTGTTGTTCAGTCACGTCTGACTCTTTGTGATCCCATGTGGGGTTTTCTTGGCAAAGATACTAGAGTAGTTTGCCATTTCTTTCTCCAAATTATTTTACAGATGAAGAAACCGAGGCAAACAGGATTAAGTGTCTTGCCCAGGGTCATGCAGCTAGTGTCTGAAGCCAAATTTGAACTCAAGTCTTCCTGACTCCAGGGTTGGCATTCTATCTACTGTACTACCTAGCAACATTTAATGGGCAATATTAAATGTTAAAATTATTAAATAGCATTTAAGAAGTTAAGCTATTCAAGTAATTTGCAGTTTATTTTTAAGCTCACTTATTCTAGCAGGCCCATTAAGATACAGTGTTACTTAAAATAGTGGACCAATGATCAATTACTTAACCCTTTCCTTTAAACATTTTTAGGTCAAAATAATCCTTTTCATGCTTTTTGGCATGAAAATTCTGAATTCTCAGCTTAATTACTTAAGTATTTAATCAGATTCAAAGATCTTTTGAAAAAAATAAAGATGTTGGTCCTAGCAATGTGATATATGGAGTGAATGAGAGTGAATAGTCAAGAATAATAGTGAGGTTGTGAACCTGGTGACCAGAAGGATGGTGACCTAAATAGGGATGTTAGAAAGAGGGATGAGCAGCTAGGTGGTGCCATAGTGCACAGAGCGCCAAGCATAGTCAGGAAGTCTCATCTTCATGAGTTCAAATTTGACCTCATACGCTAGCTGTGTGACCGCAGGTGAGTCATTTCAACCTGTTCGCCTAAGTTTCCTCATCTGTAAAATAGTTAGAGAAGGGAATGGAAAACCATTCCAATATCTTTGCCAAGAAAACCCCAAATAGGATCATGAAGAGTTAGATATGACTGAAATGACCAAACAATAATAACAATAACAAAGGAAGTGGGTTAAGGTTTGGGAAGAGAGAAAATTAGTTCTGTTTTGAAGATGTCTAGTTTGAGATGCCTTATGAGCAAGAATACAAGTTAGGTTTGAAAATGTTCAGAATACTATGCCTCAACTGTGCCTCACTGTGCTCTCTGACAATTCTTGTGTGTCTCTCTCTTGAGTCAAGGACATAGAATATTGACACTTTAGGCACTATTAGAGAATTCAACCACAAACTTGCTGGGATCTACTACATGCCAAAGACTCATCTGAGATAGTTGATATTTGAAGGACTCAGCTGAGTGACAGTGGATAGACTGTTCCACTTGGAATCAGGAAGTCTTTAGTTCAAATCCTGCTTCAGACACTTACTAGCTGTTTAACCCTGGGCTAGATATTTCACAATTTCAGTTCCTTATCTTTCACAACTGATTAGAGGGAGAGCACTAAACTTCTTCCAAAACTTTCCTTTATAGAGAGCTCACAGCCTTCCTGGTAATTCCTTTATCCATCAGCAGCTCTGCTTGGCTTCAACTCCATTGAACTCATGCCCCTTCCTGGGTACTCTATAGCATGCTGGGTTTACCCCCCCCCAAAAAAAAAACCCAAACTACTTTTCAACTTTGTCTCCTCTGTTAAATTGTAAGCTCCCTGAGGACAAGGACTGTTTCATTCTTAGTGCTTAGCACACACACAGTAGGCATTTAACAAATGATTATTGAATTAAATAGTAAAAACCAGGATGATAATAGTATCTACTTTATAGGGTTGTTGACAGGATCAAGTGAGATAATATTTGTAAAGTACTTTGCAAACCTTAAAGGACTACATAAATGTTAGCTGTTATATTATAATTATGTGAGCAATCTCTTCTTCTAGATTAAGGTTTCTTAATTCTGGGGCCCAGAACTTTTAAAAAAAAGACAGTTTGAAGACTTTTTCAGTATAACTGATTTCCTTTTTAACTCTCTGTATTCTCTTTTATGCATTTAAAAATATAATTTTGAGGAGTCTGTAGGCTTTACTCTAGAATTATCTGAACTCTATTCCTGGGCTATGTTAGATTGTCAGAAGGCAATGTGCCTCAACCTTATTTCATTAGCTCCCTGAAGAAATGCTTTCACTCAAAAAAGATTTATAGTTATGCCTGCAGCTTTTATAAAATTTTGATATAAGAAACATCCATTTGAAAACTGGCTCCTAGGCTTTTGCGAGATTACAAATGAAGCGATGGAAAATGCTATCCATACTCAGAGAAAGATTTGATGGAGTCTGAATGCAGATTGAACTATTTTCACTTTCTATATTTTTTTGGCATTGTTTCCCCTTTTGGTCTGTTTCTTCTTTCACAACATGACTATTATGGAAATACATTTTATGTGATTGTACATATATAACCAAATCAAATTACTTACTGTTTGAGGGGTGCGGGAGAGGAAAGATTTGGAACTCAGAATTGGAAAAAGTCAAATTGAAAAAGTGAAAAGTAAAAAAATAATTGGAAAAAGTAAAATACTATTTAAAAAAGATTACAAGTGAAGACATCATTCACAAAGTTATCCAATATCCTTTAGGAAATCATTTAAATTCTTCTGAGAATTCAATATGAGGAAATTTTTTAAAAATCAGATAATGAGAGCTATATGATTCTTTTTTTCTACCTCTACTTACCTCTCATGAGGAAGTATGCCGCTGTTATCTAGAGCACCAGTTCTCTGGGATCTTATGCTCCATTTTCACTTAGAAATTGTCTCTTTTTTGTCCAGCTTTCTACAAAGGGAGACACATCAAGAAATGCTGTATGGATTGACTGTGGTATCCATGCTCGAGAATGGGTAGCTCCAGCTTTCTGCCTGTGGTTCATAGGCTATGTGAGTACATAGTACTCTTACAGTGTTTGGAAGAATGATCCCAGCCCTGTTCTTTCTTTTGTTTCCAATGATTCAATCTTGACAGTTTCATCCGTCTTTCCTACCCCATGCTGAAAAGGATGAAAGAATGAGTTAAGAATTAATATTATTAGACTTTGGATGTGCTTACGCATACTAAATGAAAAGGAAAAAAATGAAGCCATTATCTTGAGAATTTCATTAAGATTTTTTTTTCAGTGTAAATGACTGACTTGAATTATCTGTATTAAGCCAGGCTCCATTTTTCATAAAATATTGCTAGAAATTGTGTCATAAAGTGGTTATCATAATTTCCCATAAGAACATGCTATAGTTTTTGCTGCTGCTAAGAGTGCTGCTCCAAATATTTTGTTATGTAAGGGACACTTTGTTTGACTGCTTGATCTCTTTGGCCTGATAATGATATCACTGGGTCAAAAGGTATGACATAGTTTAGTAATGTTAGGGGAACAGCTCTACATTGCTTTCCAAAATGGCTGAACCAATTCATAGCTCCACCAACAGTTGATAAATCATGCCTTCAGTTTATGCCAAGTATCCAGACCATGTGTTCATAATGTAACCACCTGCTGGAATGGAGTAGCCCTGTACTGTGATTGAAGCTTCAGTTCTTTTGCAGAGTAAACTAACTTTCAAGGAGTAAAGTCCACAAACCTAAACATATGAGGCAAACACAGCACCCTCACCGAAAGGAATGAAGAAAATAATTCATTACTTCTGATTTTGATTTTCAGGCAACCCAGTTTTATGGGAAAGAAGCTAAAATCACCAAGCTTCTGAATCATCTAGATTTCTATGTCATGCCTGTGTTGAATGTGGATGGTTATGATTTCACATGGAAGACAGTAAGTGAAAGGCACTTAACATCATTGGGGAATTCTCTGCATAGGGTCATGAGTGAGTATCTTTTATGGGCTTCACATAGGCAGTTGACCTTGGGGCTTAACAGCTTATTACTAAAGAATCATAGAATCTGAGTTGGAAGGGACCTTAGAGCATATGTAGTTCAACTTATACCTTGATAAGAATCCCATCTAAAACATTCCCCCAAAAGAAATAGATATTCTGTATAGCTATTAATGGTAAATAGGTTAACATGAAAAGCTATTTCTACTGCTACTGCTGCTGCTGCTGCTGCTACTACCACCACCACCACCACCACCACCACTACTACTACTACTACTACTACTACTACTACTACTACTACTATTACTACTACTACTGGGATCCATAGGTAAAAATTAGAGGCAGCCAGCTGGCACAATGGATAGAGTATTATTTATTGCCCTCCACATAGGATTATGAGGAAACTATTTGGCAAATTTTAAAATGCTATATAAATATGAGACCTTGACTTGGAGTCAGGAAGACCCAAGTTCAGAGCCTGCATTGGATACTACTGTCTGTGTGACCCTGGGCAAGCCACTAAACCTCTCTCCTTCTTAGTTTCCTCATCTGTAAAATGGTAATAATAGCACCTACTTCCCAGGGTTGTTGTGAGGATCGAATAATATGCAAAGCACTTTGCAAACCTCAAAGTGCAATATAAATGCCAGATATTAAATTAAAAAGAGTTATAAGAAAGAATTCGTTAACCACTAGACCTGTTCTGAAATGGAAAGACTTTACTACTTTACTACTTATGGAGTGGTATCCTGGGCCATCACCAGTCGTCTAGACTTTTGTCTTGCCATTAGACTCTGATGACTCTGGAGGAGAGAATGAGGATGGTGACTTTGATTAATTAATTTATTTTTAGTTTTCGACATTCACTTCCACAAGATTTTGAGTTCCAAATTTTCTCCCCATCTCGTCCGTCCTCCCACCCCAAAATGGCATGCATTCTGAATACCCCTTCCCCTAATCTGCCCTTCCTTCTATTTCTCCCCCTGCCCCTTATCCTATCCCCTTCCCCTTCAATTTTCCTGTAAGGCAGGATAGAAGGATGGTGACTTTGCACAGCCCTGTCTCACTTAAATCTAATTCCTGAGCTAGTCATTACCCTCCTGATGTAATTGGTTTTCTTTGAGAATAAAGGATGCACAATTTGTGGAGTAGTTTGCTCTTTGTCATGAAACCTCTTGAAGCAGAGACTAGCTTTCATAAAATGGATTCCTGCATTAACAGGAAAGTTGGACTAGATGACCTTTAATGGCCAGTCCAGATTAAAGATTCTATGAGTCAAAGAAGAAGAAAATTAATAAGATGAAAGTGACTTGTCCTCCCAAATTATTGAGGCCAAATATCTCTAAGTAGGAGAGTATAATTTCTATTTCTCTTCTGTCTCTTCTTGTTTAGATACATACTTAAATGCATGTGTTATCTCATCCAGGTGGGTCAGGTTATAATTGATGCTTTCTTGTCCAGCATGATGCTTATCATGCTACCTGCCCATAAAGTACTGCTGTGATGCCTCACTGAGATCTACAGGTAACCCTGTATTCTCACAGGATCTGCTTAAATAGCATCAGCTCCGTTAGGTCTTGCTGAACTGGAAAGGCTTTGATTACTTGTCTGGTGCTGAAATCATCATTTATCTTGGCCACCAGGTGATGATTATTTTTAGTCCCAGAAATCCATGGAACAGTCTCCTAAGGTTGTTAGGATTGTGATTTGCCTTGATGTAAGGAGTCCCCACACTATTTACATTGGGATAGAATAATGTAACATGAGTCATTATAGGCTTCAGAGAAGGAGCTCCAAATGACTTTGAGGGAGGATACAATATGTAGGATAAATTGGAGAAAAGGGAAAGTGACAATAAGCAATCTAACTAGGAGATTAGTAAATGTAATCCAGTAGTCAGGTGGTTAGCTTAGACAAAGGCAGCAGCTGTGGGCATGGTGAGAAATTTGCAGCTCAAAGAGGAAGAAATAGGATGGAGAAGAGTGAAAGAAGAATACCCAATGTAAACTTCTTAGGACTTTTCAAATGACTTTTTCCTTTGAACCAGATTGGCCTCTCACTTTTCCCATCTTTGCTTAGGACCGAATGTGGAGAAAGAACCGTTCCCTGCATGAGGGAAATCTATGTGTTGGGACCGATCTGAACAGGAACTTTGCATCGAAACATTGGTGTGGTATGATGATGTGTCTTTTATACTGTTAGATGTTGGGGTAGTGAGCAGACCTGGGCATTCATTAGCCTAGAGTACTCCAATATGAGGCATCTCCCCCTACCACCACCCCTACCAGCAACTTCTCTGTACCTTAGAGAATTACCTAGGGCACAAAAAGGTTAAGTGACTTACCCAGAGTCACCCAGCCAGTATGTGTGAGAAGTGGGACCTGAACCCAGATATTTCCAATCTGAGGTTGACCTTCTATTCACTGCAGCCAGATACAGTAAAGCATCATTTACTTGGACCACTGAAAAAGAAAAAAAAAACCTCTCTGATTTAGTGAAGAGTAGAACTACATGGGAATATTGGACAAGCTAGTTAACTTTTCTGAGGCTAAATTTAATTGGAAGAAATTGAAGTGATACTTTAGGCAGTGAGTTCTTTAAAGAGAACATTCTAGAAAAAATGACTCCAAGGTCCCAGACCTCTGCTTCTGGTAGACTTGTCACTGAACGGAAGAAGACTCTAAATCTTCCATAGGCACTTCTTATCTATTAGGCTACCACTTTTCTTTTCTTTTCTTTTCTTTTCTTTTCTTTTCTTTTCTTTTCTTTTCTTTTCTTTTCTTTTCTTTTCTTTTCTTTTCTTTTCTTTTCTTTTCTTTTCTTTTCTTTTCTTTTCTTTTCTAGCACCTACTGGAATGTTAGGGATTTAATTTCAGAGATTCATACAGGACTATCTGCTTACATATCAAATCCAAGATAAACCAAGTCACCAAGTACATATTAGAGTATCTCATCTTTCTGGTGAGTCTAATTCAAAAACCCATCTCAGACATAAGCAATGAAATTACCTTCTCAGAGAAGAAAACCAGCCCAAGGTGGAAGAAGAAAGTAGATAAGGCAAGAGATGAGCAGGAAAGGGTAATGCAAGATAGATTAATGTAGTAATGTAAAGTTTCCCTCCTACAGTCTTCATCTTCTTCACCAATGATACCATGGAGTCATAAAATGTTACATCTGGAAGGGCTCTTAGAGAATTTCCAATCCCCATTCCACTGCTGTCATTTTGCAGATGGGGAAATTGGGGTCCAGATAGGTTAAGTGACTTGTCCAAAGTCACACAGCTAGTTTGTGTGACTGGAGTATAGGTTTCCTATCTCTCAGGCCCAGGACATTGTTTTTTCTCTATCATAATATTACAATATTCTGAATAGGAGAAATGAGTCTAGTAAAAAATAAAAACCCTTGGCCAAAAAGAGTAAAATAAAGTAAAGAAGGGGAAGCTAGGTGGCACTGGATAGAGCTCTGGCCTTGGAGTCTAGGGGACCTGAGTTCAAATCCAGCTTCAGACACTTAATACTTACTAGCTGTGTGACCCTGGGCAAGTCACTTAAGCCCAATCACCTCACCAAAAAGTAAAAAAAAAAAAGGGGGGGGGCTCAGAATGAACACATTTTCTATGTAGCGTTGGTCCCACCAAGTTCATGTCCAAATGTAGCAGTGCTGTTGGATGAATCCCAGTCTCAGCTCCCACTTCGCTGGGTCCTGAAAGTCACTCCTTGCTCCTTGGGGCATCAGTTCTGGGCTGGTTACAGAACACAATGTTGACTTGACTCTCAGAGGGCTCATTCTTGAAATTGACAAGACTGTAAGTTCAAACTTCCTTCACTCAAAACAACAACTTCCAAGACAGGCAAGGAAACTGAGGCCCATATTCACAGGGCCACATGTCAGCATCGGGTAGAGAGAAGGTCCAAGGCTTCTCCTCTTTTTGTTTTTGTTTTTGTTTTTTTGTTTTTAGGCAATTGGGGTTAAGTGACTTGCCTAGGGTCACACAGCCAGTACGTGTCAAGTGTTTTGTCTGAGGCCAGATTTGAACTCAGGTCCCGTGCTCTATCCACTGCACCACCTAGCTGCCCCAAGGCTCCTCCTCTTACAGCACTATCTTTCACTGGACACTGTCAGCTAGGAAGAAATCAGCTGAAGAAAAGAGGCCAAATCAAGGGAAGTGGCTGAGGATGGCTAATGCCTTACAAAGGCACACCTAGTTCCAGTTCTGCAGTTATAACCAATCAAAGAGGCTGCTTTCTACCACATGGTTAGTGGATCAGAAGCAGTAACAGAATGTTTATGCATGCTCCAATGGCTTTCCATGGCACTTCCATTCTCCTGGAAGTAGATTCACCATAGTCTTCCAGATGGAGAATTACATCAGTGTCACTCTATGAATACCCATAAGGACTGGACTTAATGAACAGTCCCTTGTTACACACTGAAAGTGTCCCACCCGTGCAGCATCTCTCTGTCAGATTATGGTTTCTTGGATAGGGACCATTTACTATCTCTCAGGTGAGGCTATTTCATTTGAGCACCTCTCCAAACGATTGGGTCAGGACCTTCTCAGTGTTTGGGTATTTGAAGTGCTCCTCTACAAGGAGATATATAAATAATTCTGTTGCTTCAAGGGGCATAGCTTCCTTATGCCAACCTTATTTAACCTTTTCCAGCCTTCATTTCATTCTATAAAATGAGGATCATTTTTACTTACTTATCTCAAAGAGTCTTTGTGAGGATCAAGTGAGATAATATGTTTTGAAAACCCTGAAGTGCTCTATAAGTAGCACTTTAATAGCAGCAATGACAATGGTAACAATGAGGATGTGTTTAATTCCACCAAAGGATGAGAGGCTTTTCTTTGTGGAAGTTGTCATGGCTTTCCTGGCTCAGACACCAAACATGAGACTGGGTTGGGACACATTATCAGTTCCTAAAAGTCCCCTGATGTTCCTTCCTTTCCTCTTCCCAGCTCGACTCCTAAAGGACATTGTTCTAGGAGGGAAGGTGAGGGAAGTTGCTTCGAGAGGCAGATGAGCTATGAGCAAACAGGGACCAAAGAGTGGAAAGGGGTGGGGAACCCAAGGGTCAGGTCTTCAGGTTTGATTTAACTTTTGGAGAATGAAAATGGAGGACGAGAGAGCATGAACAAGGACTCTCGGCCTCTTATCACCTGAAATGTATTAATTTTAAAAGAGAGAGTAATAGCTGAAAAGAGGATTAAACTGAGCAAAAAGGAATTTATAAAGGACAGCTTGGGAGAGGGGTGTTATTTTCTTAACAGCCTGGTTAGCCTTGGCTCCCACACTGACCCATCTGTTTCCTGTGCCCTTTAGCGCTAGAGTCCTTACAACACCAGGTTAAACTACTGGGACAGAGGCCTAAATAGGGGCGTACTGAGCAACTTAGATGTTTTTTTTCCCTGATGCCTCAATGTTGTAATGACTCGGTTGCCTTTCTGTGTCCTTTGATAGTCATAGATGTAGCCTTTGCCTTACTGGTTAGCCAAAATAAGTGATTAGTTGTAATGGAGCTAACCTGAGGATGATAGGAACTTGTGAGAATCTGTTTCTGTGCTTTTCTCAAGAGGAGCACATTTCTGAGATTGGGGGAGCTGAACCCCCCCCCACCCCGAGAAGGAGGGTGGTGGGAGATTCAGCAGCCCAGCCCCCAAATGAATCACAGGATTCTCTTTGGATGCTCATATCCACTCTAGTTGTGTCAGAATCCCTCAATGTCTTGTAAACTATTCTATTTTGTGGTTGAAGTGGGGTGACTTTCCTGCCCCTATGCCAATGTTGCTGTGTTGAGTTTGCGTCCATGTCTCTGGTCTGGCTGTCTGGGACTCTGTTGGGACCATTATACTGTGAAAAGTGGTACAAGGGAATCTCCTGATTTGAAACAAAACCATTCTCATTTCTCACTAGGCTGCACCACTCTGAGACTTCTCTAACTTTTCTACAATGCCCCTGGAAGCTCATTATTAGGAAAATCTCATCATCCTACAAGATCCAGGGAGCCTTGGTACTCCACTTTACATCTCTCTGATTGAAGGGTGGAGCCATGAACTCCAAAACTTCCATGGGGGGCGGGACTACTTCTCCACCAGCTTCCCTTTGTGTGTTATCTTCCCCCTGTTAGATTGTAAACTCCTTGAGGGCAGACACTGTCTCTTTTTGTGTTTGTATCCTTAGTGCTTAGCATGGTGCCTGGCATATAGTAGACACTTAATAAATGTTTATTAACTATTGAGACTGTCTTGGCTTTATGGTGAGTTGATCTGAGACAGTAGTTTCTTTGCTGACAATCTAGAAAAGAGAAAGTTTAAAACACATTTTGAGTAGTGTTTTATTAAATGTGACATTAAATATTTAATAACTTTTAAAGTGACTATTAAGGTTTTTGCCTTGAACCAGACATAACTTAATGTGTTCTCTTCTCTTTCTACAAAAGATTGCTGGTATTGTACATATTTTTTTTAAAGGCAAATGAGCATTTTAGATTTTCCTTGTAATTGGTTTTCCATATTTTTAGTAGTTGCTATTTTAAGATGAGTAAAAGGATAAATGTATGTATAAGTGAGATAGTATATGTAAAGTGCTTTGCAAGCCTTAAAGCACCATATAAATGCTAGCGATTATTGTTGTTGTTGTTAAATTCTGAAATGTATGTTTTCTAGAGTATAACCAAAAGTGGGATTATCAACACGTATGAGAACAATCACTATAAACATAGTGCTGATGAGTTAAAACTCAAGTTTAGATTGTTTAACAGTATTGAAAATACTTGTTGAAAATAGCTCAGGTAAAGTTTCTTATCTAAAAAAAACATGAAAACAGGAATGTTGGGATATTGGGGAGGGAGGATTTGGCACTTACCTAAGAGATCAGGCAAAATAAATGGGAAATATTATGAGATGACTTGTTTCAATTAATATTACGCTCTAATATTCCTTGTTTAGATCTGTTCTTAATGACAACATAGTTTACCATCATGGAAAGAATCCTGGAATTAGAGTTAGGAAGATCTGGGACTACAATTCCTCCTCAGACACTTACTAATTGGTCACCCTGAGTAATTTAATTGGGGCAGCTAGGTGGTACCATGGTTCAGAGAGTGTTGGGCTCAGGAAAACCTGAATGCAAATGAGATTTCAGACACTACCTGTGTGACCCTGGGCAAGTCACTTAACCTCTATTTGCCACAATTTCCTCATCTGTAAAATGAGCTGGAGAAGGAAATGGCAAACTACTCCAGGATCTTTGCCAAGAAAACTCCAAATGGAGTCACAAAGAGTTGGATATGACTGAACAATAACAAGTAATTCAATTAATATTTATTGGCTTCAACTTCTTCATCTGTAAAATGGGGATGATAATACCACCTTCCTCACTGAGTAATTGTGAGATAATGCACATCTTAAAGTTGCCATATAAATGTGAACTATTTACTTGGGTGACCTTGTATAATCACTTGACCTCTCTAGTTTCATTTTCCTCATATCTGTTCCTTGCAGGCTAGAAACTTATGAAGCTGAAGAAGAAAATTCAATAGAATCATAATATTGCCTTAGTTGGCAGCCTCAAGAAAGACCTAACAGTTTTGGAGAATGCCCAGTGAAAGGCAAATGTAATGAGTGAAGGGATAAGCAGCCACCTTATGAAAGCAGATTTAGAAAAGATGGAAAAAGAAGGGCAGGACTAATATGATCAAAGTCTATAAAATCAGTCATGGCATGGACAGAGTGAATTTGTTGTTTTTAGTCAGACAGAAAATAAAACTATTCATACCAATGACATTAATGAAATAGCAGAGTAAGAAAAAGAGCAATAGAATATTTTGCCCATAATCCTGGGGCATACCTGTAGGGGAACAGGTGTGGCTAGATTATATTTGTGGATGGACTTTCACGAGGAACATATGACTAAGGCACACACGTAGAGGCAACTTATGACATGACAGTGATGTCATCTGATGGTTTTATTGTACTTCCATTGTTGGATCTATAACCTGCTAGAATTTGTTCTGTTTAGGGACCTTTTCTTGTGCATCATATCCCAAGACATTTTGACTGTTCTTTACTTCTCTCTAAGCTTCATATGTTTCTCTTACTCCCTAACTTTCTCTACTGGGTTACTGTCACTGCTGATCCTCAGCTGAGGTACTACATCTTCACTTTAAGAGAGGGACTGGATTCTTCTCTTTTAGCTTAGAGTGAAGAGTCAAAGCTCTATCTCTTTTGATGGGAATGGTAGATCCTTAACATAGAGTCATTGATACTCCCCATCTTATCTGTCTTTGAACTAACATTCTTTTGTCATTAGGAGCCACATGCATATACCTATGTCTATCTTAGAATAAAGAGGTCTTTGTAAATGTCACTTTACCCTTCTATGGGGACCCAGTTCCCCCCAAACCCATTTCAAGGAACTCGGCCAAAGAGCCCTTATAGGATCTACATGGGTTTGTAGCATCATAATTTTCCTTCAGAGATTCCCTCCCAGTTTCTTGATTATCCCACGAAAATTAAGGTGGGGAAGGTAAGAAGAAAAAAAACCAGGTGGAGTCACTATGAGGCATCACCTCTATCTCACCCATTTCTTCCAAATTTCTGCTTTTATTACACATATATGTTCACCCTACATGGCCATACAGAAATGATAATAATTGGCATTTTATGGCAATTATGTTTCCAAAGCATGTTAATACATTATCTCAACAGATTCTAAAAATAATCCCATTAGGTAATCAGAACAAATATTATTATTATTAACCCATTTAACACATGTGAAAACTGAGGCTCAGAGAGGTTAAATTGCTTGCCCATGATTACAACAGTAAAACCCAAGTTTTTTAACTCCAGATATGGTGCTTTTTTTTTAAGTGAAAAGACCTCACCTGGACTCATGAAAAACTAGGTTCAAATTTTAATTTTGGCATTTACTACCAAAACAAATATATTCCAGAAAACATTATAAGCCCAACATTCAACAAGCATGATAGATATGCTAGTTGGAATGGAAACCATAATTGGAATATAATTCTTCCCAGTGATTCTCTTACCACTTCTCTAAAAAGGTAAGCCATAGACTTCAGAAGACAATATAGATGGGGGGAGGGGCGGGGATATAAATGACAACGGTTTCTGAGAATCCAGAAAAATCCATTTCTTTTACATCTTTTAGTGATCATTTCTATTGATTTTTGTTCCAGAGGCAGGCGCATCGAACTCATCATGCAGGGAAATTTACTGCGGACCATATCCTGAGTCAGAACCAGAAGTAAAGGCAGTAGCTAGTTTCCTCAGGAGAAATCTGGATCACATTAAAGCATATATAACTATGCATTCATATTCTCAGATGGTGCTGTTTCCATACTCCTATACCATAAGCAAAAGCAAAGACCATGAAGAACTTGTAAGTGATATTTAAAAAATTTTTGACTTCTCATTAACATTTTAAGAAATATTTTAAAACTCTGGATCCATCACTTAATCAGTCAATAAAGCTTTATTAAATATAACTATGTACCCAAGCACTGTAGATACAAAGAAAAAAATTTCTAGTTTCTACTCTCAGACAGCATACGCTTTATTTATTTATTTACTTATTTATTCATTCATTTCTTTATTTCTTTAATTATTTTTTGGTTAGGCAATGGTGTTAAGTGACTTGTCCAGGGTCACACAGTTAGTGTTATGTGTCTGAGGCTTGATTTGAACTCAGGTACTCCTGAATCTAGGGCCAGTGCTCTATCCACTGCGCCACTTAGCTGCCCCAAGAGCAAACATTTAAAAAAAAAACTCTTAGCAAATGTATTACCATGATGGTATTGTAAGAACAGTAGCTAAAAATATTTCCTCCACAAATCTGGGGTGTACTTCCACAAATATGCACAGCATTCCTAGGAAGAGTGGGCTCAAACTTAGGGTGAACTGTGGGTGAAATACATCTGTAGGATGCACATGTGGCAAAAGCCCCCACAGCTCCTGGTGTTACAGAGCCTTGGAAGCCCTTCCTTTACTCATAGAGTCCTCACACAGCTTCCCTTGGTATAGCATTGTAAACAAACCAGTAAATGGTTTGTTTGTTCAGCTGAGTTCCCATGGTCTTTACCTCTCCATGGTCCATTTTTTTTTCTCTCCTTGAAACTACTTCCTTCCTCTGTATCCAAGTCCATCTGGAGCACGTCTCTGCTCTCCTCCGAATGCAGCGTCAAGGAGCTTACTTACATTCTCCTGGCTGAGACAAGGATGTGGTCAAGTATATACAAAATATAGGAGAGAGGGGCTAGATCAGTGATTTCACTGGTAGAGCTCTCAAGGGGGAAATTTTCTTTACCAATGCAGACCTCTTCTCTGCAACTTATAGTCTGCAACTTAAAAAACATTGAGAGTTTAAGTGCCCAGGGTCATACCCCCTGTTTGTCAAGTGAGAATGTCAAGATTTTAGGTCTGATTTTTTTTTTTTGAAAAAGAGAAAGACAAAGATGTAGAGCAAATTTCAAATTTGGGTAGAGGGATTGATTATCTCTTCCTATGTTATAACTCAGTACATTAGTCCTGATGGAGAAAAGTTTTGGAGTCACAAGACATTTTAGAAAAGAAAAACAGGTGTTCTTAGACAGAAGGACTGGAAAGTGGTGGAGAGTTAAGTAGAGGAGAGAAAACACTGTGGTAGAGTGAAAAGAGCTATTTTTGGAATTAGAAGACCTAGATTCTGGATTCTTTCTAGTGGCTTTAGTACCACTTTATAAATATGTGAATTTAGGTAAGTCAGTCTGAATCTCAGTTTCTCTGTTTGAATGGACCCAGAAATAGTTGTGTTATTACTAGCTTGCAGAATTGTAAGGATCAAATAAGGTAATGGTGAACTCTAAAGAGCTAGAGAAATAATAGCTATTGTTAAGCTAAATTACATGAAGAACACTATTTGTAAATTGGATTATAGATTAAATATAGGTATATTTAACTTTACATAAGAAATGAAACATTTATGATCAAACTTCTAAAAACTGAAGGGTATTTTCAATATGCCTAGAGAAGCTTGCTACCTAAAGCCATTACATTGTAAATATGAATGTGAAGCAAATAATCCTTTTGTAGTATAATGCTCATTTATCTATTACATTATATTGTATTATATTGACTTGGATTGGGTTGTATTGTTGTAAATCTCTATTTTCAAATATTCGCTCTACTAAAATCGAGGTAAGTCTACAAATGAAATATGTAATGTTACCATCTGTTAACCACTTCTACCGTTCTGCTTATTATAGTGCTCTAACAAAAATCCCATATCTTATTACTTTCAGTCTCTCGTGGCAAGGCAAGCAGTTCAAGCTATTCTGAGAGTTAATAAAAATGTTTATTACACATATGGCCCTGGTGCACCAACAATCTGTAAGTATTATTGCTTAAGCTCTTTAAAAGCAGTCAATTGTTATACAAGCATATATATTATAACATATAATGTAATTATGTTATAATTTTTCTCTATATAATCTTCTATATACTCTATAGAGTATATTTTTTTCTCTCCCTCTCTTCAACTCTCTAACATATAATGTAATTATGTTATAATATAATTGTTCTCTATATAATCTTCTATATACTCTATAGAGTATATTTTTTCTCTACTTCTCTTTAACTCTCTATCACTCTCCATATATACTACATGACATATAACATATGTGTGAATATATCATATACGTTGCATTTATCTTGTTGCAGTCATTTTAGAAACAGAAACTTTATCTGTACTATTTAATAACACACTCATTGTCTCTCTCTCTCTCTCTCTCTCTCTCTCTCTCTCTCTCTCTCCCTTCTTCTCCTCCATATACATATTATATATAGTAACTACATATATAATATATATATACATGTATGTAATTGTATATTACATTCCTCTCTGTTGCAGTTATTTTAGAAACAGAAACTTCACTTGTGCTATATAGTAATATACTATACTTGTGTATATATATTAGTAATGATATATAGTAACTTGTGCTATTTAGTGACATAAAAACACACATATATGCAGACTATATGTGTGTGTATGTATGTACATATGTATGTTACTAAATAGTACAGGCAAAGTTTTTGTTTCTAAAATGACTGTAACAGAAATGTGTAAATTAGTGTAACATTCGTAAACAAGTTATCAAACAGAGTAAAGCATTTAGAACAATTTTCTACACTGGAGAAATCTACACTGGAGGAATGGCAGAAGTACACTATGGTACCAAAATGAAGATTGTTTAACACTCTCTGAGATGCTGTTCTTCAGACTTTTCAGCCAGTGTTCTAGCCTGAAATTGCCTCAGAAGTCTAAGCTTACATGGCATTTACTCTTTGTTTTACCACAGAGAAGAATTACTGTTAGTGTTCCATGATTACTGTCATGAGAAAAAAAAAACCCAAATCTGAAAGTTTTAGAAAGAAATTTATTTGGTAGAGGAAAAAACTGGAAGAAGAGGTGGCTTCCTGTCCAGTCTCTACAATGTTTTCATTATATAGGGTTCAGATGAAACTACCAGCATAAGTAGTTAAACAAGACTGCAGAGGAGGCAGTTTCTAGACTAGGTCCATTGAGAAGTACATCAGTGAGTATAAACATTCCAATTATTGAGATGTAAGCATAAACATTCAGATTTGGGGAACCCAAAACACATGCACTGGATGGACTCAAGACTGGTTGTGATATAAGCATTTCTTTCAGTCATAGAGCTTCCCTGGAATATCTCTCTCCTTGAGGGAGACAGGATTGAAAACATAAAAGATCCAGAAGACATACTCTGACTCTTGAAGAGAGAGGGATATGACAAAAAAAAAGTGATGTAGGTGATATGACTCAAGGACAATTACAAAGCAACATATTAATAAGTATAAAATAACAGCTATACAACATATATAAGTGCTAGATGGATGGGAAACAAGGGTAATATCAGAGCACCAGTACCTGTGAAGGCTACCTGGAAGATGTGAATTTTGAGTTGAAACTTGATGGAAAGGTATGGAATAGCGGGCTTTGAATGCTAAACAGAGGAGTAAAATTTGATAAGGATAAAATAGGTAGCTCCTTTGGTTTTTGAGTAGGATAATGCTTTTTTTTTTTGTAATGCTTTCTTAAGAGTTTTTTGAGCAAGATAATTCTGGCAATGTTTCAGGATATATTGGAAAATTGAGGATGAAAGTTAGAAAGACTAATTATGAGGGACTATTGTTATAATCCAGGCATAAAATGATGGTCTGGATTTGGTAGTAACTATGAAAAGAGAAGAAGAAACATATTCAAACAATATTACGAGGGAAAAGATGTTAGGACTTGGCATTAAAATGAAAAGGTTGGAGGTAGGGGGAAGGGAGCACATATACCTAGCATAGTGCTCTGCACACAGAAGGTGCTCAGTGAAAGTTTGGTGAATTTAATTGATAAAGGATATTGGTTTGGAGGAGTTAAATGATTAGCTCAGTTTTCAACATGCACAGTTTTAGCTGTTATTGAGACACTGGAAGATGAGGAAACAGTAAAGGAAATAGAGAGGGCTGGAGGAGATTCACAATGACAAAATACAGAACCAAAGAAGGGAATTTCAAGATGGATTGTAGTTAATTATTTACTCGCCAAGTGCTTATGGAATGCCTGCTATGCATATGCCACTGTATTAAATGCCATTAGTAATATAAAATGCAGTTGAAAGGCCTTCTTCCCACCCCCAACCCCAAACCCTCTCCCTTCGAAGATGAAAACTTAGAAAGAGACCATTAGATTTACTCATGAGAAAAAGCAGTTTTACTGGAGCAGTTAACAGTGGTTAAAAGGGTATTAGATGTAGAAAGAGACCATTAGATTTACTCATGAGAAAAAGCAGTTTTACTGGAGCAGTTAACAGTGGTTAAAAGGGTATTAGATGTAGCTAGCTAGCTAAAGCATTTAATAAACACTTACTGTGTACCAGCCACTATGCTAAGTGATGGGAATGCAGAAAACAAGAAAGCAAGACAGTCTCTACTCTTGAGGACCTTATCTTTGACTAGGGCAAGACAAACCATAAATTGGAGTTGGAAAGGGAAAGGGTAAAAGAGTAAGGTGCTTGCTGGGGCCAGGCAGCTGGTATGAAAGTGCGGCAGACTGGAGATGAGTGACAAAGTGAGTTACAAAGTGAATGGCTGGGGATCTTCAAGATATATTGATTCTAAGGCAGAGGATCCCCAATTGGTGAGGTCTTAGCTACTCTACCAATAATAACAATCTCCTCCAGCCTTCTCTGTTTCTCTTGCTGCTTCCTCATCTTCCTCCCAGCCTTTAACTATTAGGGTCCCCCAAAGATGTCTCCTCTTGGATGTCCCCATAGAACTAAAACTGTACCTGTTGAAAACTGAGCTCATCATCTAACTCCTCCAAACCAATATCCTTTCCCAATTAAATTCATCAACTTAGCTACTATAACAACAATAATGACAAAAGCTAACATTATATAGTACTCTAAGGTTTGTAAATCACTTTATATATGTTATTTTATTTACTCAAGAATCAACTAATAAAATTTCAGGAAGATACATGAGTGTCCATGCCTAATCCTAATTTCCTTTAATCATATCAAGATAATATCATCTAAAAAAAATTTGCCCCAGAAGAAAGGCCATTTGGAGATCTTTCTTTGGCCATAGCAACCTATGAAACAAGAAATTTTCACAATGGCTCTCAGTTTTATATGGCCACCTCTTTCCGTAGTGATGGTCATAGAGCAGTGGAAAAAGAGGCAGAGAATGCCAAGAATCATAATTTTTTAGGCCATCCATAAACTTAACTGTTGGTACTCTTGATGTAGGATTCTTATCCAAAGAGCAAGTGGACATATCTTCATTCATTCATATCATATCTTTCATATTTAGTCCTATCATTTTTAACATTCTGGATATGATTGACTAGAAGACAAAAGGAAGGTGCAGTTAAATGGGCAGATGGTTCACAGATTTTCCTTGGAGAGGGAAAGAAAGGAGTTGGTTTTTTATCACCTATCCAAAGGTAACAAGGAGCATAATTTCATGGGACATTTGGTCATCTTTCATAGCATTGCTCATGATAAATATTTGCAAAACCAGTATCATTATAACAATAATTGCAACTTACATACCAATATCTGTTATGAAGAAATAGTGGAATTTTAAGAAGAACATGATAAGACCCTTCAAATTAAAGCAGCATATTTTTTGGTACAAGACAACTTCCAAAAGTAAGCATAGAGGCTGATGGTGAAAAATATGTTAGAAAATATGGTTCATGATAAGGAACAAGAAAAGTCAAAGACTTGTTTGTCGTTACACAGATGACTTCAACATGACTTTTCCACTTTTACTAGAATGGAGAGTGCACAAAAGGAAATCTGTTGCCAAGTTATCATTTCTACCATCTCTGGTCTACATCTGCTTCTCTTCAGACACACAGCTTCCACCTTGGTATAGGCCCTTGTCACATCATGCGTTGCCTATTGCAAAGGTCTTCTGCTTGGTCTCCCTATCTCAAATCTCTTCTTTTACCAATCCATACTCTACTCAACTGCCAAAGAGATGTTCTAAAGTGCACATCTAGCCAAGTTCCCCTGTACTTCAGTGGTGTTAAACTCAAATAGAAATTGGGGCTACTAAACCATATATAAAGATCTCTTTGGGGCCACATATTGACTTAGAAAACCACATATTAACATTATCTATGTTATATTGTGTTTTTATTTATTTGGTTAAATATTTCCTAATTAAATTTTAATCTGGTTCAGATGGACAGGGTAGTGTTATAGCCACAGTGTGACTTGTCGGCCTATGTTTAATACCACTGTTCTACTCAGTAAACTTCGGTTGTTCCTTGCTATCTTCAGGATCAAATATAAAATCCTTTGTTTCATTTTTTAAAACTTTCCAGAACCTGGCCCTCTCTTTGCTTTCTAGTGTTCTTATACTTTACTCCTGTTTACTATTCTAAGACTCAGCTATTAAAAATACTTGAATATACATTTATTAATTCATTTCTTCTTTCATTTTATTCATTCATTTAAGGAGACTTTTTTTTTAATTAGGAAAAGAATAAAGGGAAAAGCATTTATTAAGTATTAACTAGGTGTCAAGCACTGGGCTAAGTGCTGGGGATTCTAATATAAAAGTAAGTCCGTCCCTGTTCTCATAGAGCTCACATTCTAATAAGGGGAGACAACAGATACAGGAGGTTTTAGTGGCAACTCAAAAGAAATGATCCAGTGGTATTTTTTTTTGGTTCAGTGCTAAAGCAGAGGGGTAATGCATCTTTTTCATTGTCATTGTAACACTCATTCTCTTGCCTTGCTAACACTCCCCCTCCCCCACTGCCTGAAGGCCAGGTTTATTACATCTCATCTTTCCCCCAAGTTTTCTAGTTCACTGAAAGGGGTTTAGGGTAGGCTCTTTGCCATTGGTTCTAGCCCCTACTTCTGATATTCCTCTAAGTGTAGGGGGGTCCCCTGCACTCCAGTTCCACTTAACCACTTAGCTTTGTAAAAGCTAAAAGATTAGCTTTTGAAAAGGAATATTTACTTCAAAAGACACACTCACAAATATATAAACTCATTCCCCTCAACATACAGGAGGCATAATTCCACCCCCAACCCACTCTTGGGGAGGGGAAAATGATTAAGTACATAGCTAAGCTCAGTTCCTAGAGAACCCACAGTCCTACATTCCAAATCTAGCCCCCTACCTTCCCTAGGACTTCAATCCCAGGTACACTGGCTTTTCCATCTTTCCTGCTGGGCTACCTGACTGCAACATCCTGCCTAGAATTCTGATTTTAAGGTCACTATGACTTGAACTTCTGGGGTCTGGTGGGGATCACTGCTTGTACATGAAACTAAGGAGGACCCCAGCCCCAATTCTCAGAGCTGAAGCTGGGGTAAAAGGGAGAGGGGGAAGGTACCCCGCCCCTCTCAGTTCATTTCATGATACCCACGATGAAGGTTAACTGCCATTTTTGCCCTCTGGATGCAGCAGGAAAAAATACACAGGGAAGAGAAAGACTATCTCAGTTTGACAAGTTTTAAAGATGCAGCCTGTTTCATTTAAGCAGCCAATCAAAGGAGGGTACTCCCAGCCAGGGAATGTGGTAGGGGAACCAGGGTACCTCTACATTAAGGGATCAGGAAATGCTCCAATGCCCTCATTAGATTATTTTTCATGAGTAAAACTCTATTAGATGTTGAACCATTGGACAGTACCAAGGACTTTGGTATTAGAACTTTTTTTTTTCTGGGTCTCTGCTGAGGAGGTAGGGCTAAAGGGTCTGTTGCCAGGTCCACATCCATAAGGCTTGCTTTCCTGGATGACAACTGGGGTGGGGAAGGCAGTTAGGAAGCAAGGCTGGTGATATTTGTGGGGCTGATGTGCTGTTGTTTCCAGGTCTCTTGGCTTCTTTATACTTTTATTAATAAAGTTAATATTACCCTGTCTCTTTTTCGCATGTCCATTTCAGAAGCACTTTCTGAACAAATTATTATCTCTACATTCACATGAGGAAACAGAAGCTTATAACTTGCCCAGGGTCACATAGCTACTAAGTACCAGGGCTAAGGGTCAAATCTAGGTCTTTACAAGTCCAATACTTTTCCCATAATACTATATTGTCATGAGATTGACTGGTGCTACTTTATGTCCACCCTAAGTTTATAAACTTGAAGGAAGGTAAGAAAGATGCTGCTTTCAATTTGACATTTATTAAGTACTTATTATATACCAGGTACCATGGCTACAAAGGCAAAACTCATTTTCTCATTTGAGCCTGACAACTGAGTATAAAAAGTTTAAGTTACTTGCCCATGGTTATACAGCTAGTAAGTGTCTTCTTGTCTTTAGTTCTAGACTTTAATCCACTATACGACCCTGCCTCTCCATGTGGACATAGTTAGAATTTAATTAAATAAATCTTTACTAAGTGCCTCTTCTTTACAGATAAGTATAATACAGTGTAGTTTGATGAAGAAACAAGCTCTCTCAACTGGGAGTGGGAAGAACCAAAAAGGCTTTATAGAGGAGAGGTAGCACTCGAGGTGAATTTTGAAGGATTCACATAGGAGGTGAGGAGGGAGTACATTCCAGGAATGAAGAATCCCTTGATTCTTTTAGATTTCTTTTTGGTAGGAAGGAGAATTTGAGGTCAAAAGGTAGTCATTATGTATATCAGTTATCCTGGGGCACCTATATTTCACATGGTAATTAACTTATTCACATTTTTCCAGATTTATCTCCTGGAGGTTCAGATGACTGGGCCTATGACATGGGCATCAAATATTCTTTTACTTTCGAACTTCGAGATAAAGGCCAATATGGATTCTTGCTTCCAGAACGTTTTATCAGACCAACAGTGATAGAAATTTTTGCGGCTGTCAATTCAATAGCTTCTCATGTCATCCTTAACACTTAATATGCCCCATTTCAAATAACTGATTTCACGATAGCAGGACCCAATTATTTTGCCAGATTTTAAAAAGAAGTCTTAGTTTAGATAGAGATATTTCCTATCCTTTCAGGTTTTTACCAAAGGGCTATAGTCAGCATAAATACTGCTTCTATGGGGGAAGGGAGGGGCAGGAGTAAGATAACCCAGTATCTCAAGTTTTATCTTTGTTGAGTCATTTAAAAAGCCAATCCTATGTTCTTGCTGACTGGAAATGGTACATCAAATCTAATGACCACAATGAAGGAGCAAGATAAAGTGTCAGTGTCTATCAGCTTTTGGTCCAAACTTTCAACAAATTTCTTCCTATACTTCAAATAAAAGAAAGCAAGATATTACTTTCTTCGTCTGTCCTGGATTTTGTTTTATGTGTAGTGGATAATGGTCTATATCTGCTGTTTCATGTGTGGCACGGACATCTGTTGTGGAAATTTTTCTAACTCTAAAGTAATTGAAGCAATGTAGCCAAGATCAGACAGGTAGCAGAAGCCAGAGGCAGTTCTTGAATGTAGGTCTTCCCTAACTTCAAGCCCTATTCATTGCATACCTCAGGGTATATATGATATATATATATATCTATATATCTATATATATCTATATATATCTATATATGTTTATATATATATATTGATATATATATATACACATACATACACACACATATATTTATCATATTATATATGACCCTTTTCTTAGCCCTACTTCTTGGGAAGACTCAGTCTTTTTTTTTTTTTTTTGGCTAGGCAATGGAGCTAATTGGCTTGCCCAGGGTCACACAGCTAGTAAGTGTCAAGTGTCTGAGGCTGCATTTGCATTCAAGTCCATCTGACTCCTGGGATGATGCTCTAGCCAGGAGCCACCTAGCTGCTCCTGGACTTTCTTGCTACAGTCCACTTGCAAAGAGTAGCAGAGAACAGAAAATTACATACAGAAAAATTTCAGAGCTGAAAAGGGCCCTGGAGCCCAAACTATTCAGGAAAATATTGTCTGAATGGATGGAGAGAGGTGAAGACACTTAGATTGTAAGCTCCTTGAGGGTTGGGACCATCTTTTCTTCTTTTCGTACCCCCAGCACTTAGCTTAGTGTCTGGCATATAGTAGGCGTTTAATAAATGTTTATTGAATAGAACTGAATTAAGATCGCACAGCTAGTGTAAATGGCAGTCAGGACTAAAACTTTCATCAATACTCTTCAATAAATATCTGTTGAATAAATGAAACAAATTATAAGAATTAACATGGCATTATATATATTTAGTATGTGTCCTGTTAGAAACTTAATGAAAAAAAAAAAGAAACCGGCTTTCCTGCGGTGTAAACGCGTAAGAATGAATGAGAGCCTTTTCAAGACGCCCAAAGCAGTCTGCATAACACAGACTCCGCCCCCTTTAGGCTTAGTCTCTCGGAGGAGGCGTGGCCTCTGGGAGGCGTGGCCGTGACGTCTGGCGCCGGCGCACATACGACTAATCCGGGGGTTTTGAGGAGAGGCGTGCCCATGACGAGCGGAGCGTGCGCACTGACGACTAATCCGGTGGCCGGAAACTGCCTCTGCCCGGTCCAGTGATCTGTGGGCTTCCGGCGACGAAGCGAGGGGGGATCTGTGCGCGGCCCAGTCGTCTTCCCGGCGGCTTCTTCTCTGCTTTCCCTCAAGTCTTTCCCCACTTTTCCCCTCCTGCTCCTGCTCCTCCCGCTCTTCTTCGCGCTCCCTCGCCCGCGGCCCGTCTCTTCTCCCAGCTTTTCCACCCCTCGCCTGACCCTGGCTAAGCGGCGGGCGGGCTCCGTTTCCCAGCAGCCCCCGGGGGCCCCCGCGAGCCGAGGGTCCGTTCCCGGGAGCCGCGCACGCTGCTCCTCCTCCTCTCGAGGCTCGGGCCGTGGACAGGGAGTCGCCTCCCCCGCTCCTCGGGGCGGTGGAGGCGGTGGCGGTGGTGGGGGCGGTGGCGGCGGCGGAGGAGGCGGGGGCGGCGGGGAGCGCCCTCGGAGGGAGCTCGGGGCGGAGGTAAGCTGTCCGTGTTTAGGTCTCTGCGGGCGAGGGGGCGGGGCCGGCCGGGAGGGAGAGGGGGACGGAGGCAGGCGCGTGCTGATAGGACGGGCTGGCTGCACCCCTCCGGGAAAGCGGGGAGCACCCGGGTTCAAACCCCACCTCGGAGTTTGGGCAGCTCCCCATGCCATTGGGCGTCGGTGTCTTACATTTGCATTAGATGGCATCCGAGGCGAGCTGGTTCTTTCCAGCTCTAGAGCTGGCCCAGGGCCTGGAGTCAGGAAGATCTGAATTCAAACCCAGCCTCAGCGCGACCCCGGGCAAGTTCACTTCACCTGTTTGCCTCGGTTTCCTGACCTGTGAAATGGAAATGACATAATAATTGTAAAGCACTTAGCACAATGCCTGGCACATAGTAAGCAATGTGTAAATGTTAGCTGTTATTATTTTACGAATCCAGTGTGACCCGAACCCTATTGCTCCTATTCCTCATAAGAAGGAGCGTTTATGAAATGCTTGCTATATGCCAGGCAGTATTATAATCCCTGAGAATGAAAAGAAGGCTCCTTTCCATGCCTGACTTCCCCATCCATAGAGTTGCGCAGTGCTGTACTCCTTTATCCTGGCCATTAGGAGTTGTGCTAAGAGGATCACTTATCTCTCTACAAAACAAACAAACAAAAAAAACCAGGCAAAAAGTAATTCCTGCTCTCAACGAACTCAGATTTATGGGGGAACAACTATGAACAAATTAAGTCTATGCAGGTTATATTGGAGAAAATCTCGGAGGGAAGGCACTAATATTAAGAAGAATTGGGAAAAACTTCTTGCGGAAGATGGGACTTAGTTGAGACTTTAAGGAAGCCTGGGCAGCCAGCAGGCAAAGGAAAAGAATTAGAAAGCAGGTGGGCAGTTAGGTGGCATAGTGGATAGAAAACACTGGCCTTGAAATCAGGAGGACCTGAGTTCAGGTGCCGCCTCAGACCAGACACTTGTCACTTACTAGCTATGTGATCCTGGGCAAGCCACTTAACCTCAATTACCTTTTAAAAAAAGAAAAGAAGAAAGAAAAGAATCACTTTTCTAGTCATTTTTCTTGGGCAGACTAATAAGTGTGGCTTAGTGGATGTAGACCTAGACCAGTTTGGAGGCAGAAAGGTCAAATCCCACTTCTGGCATGCTGACTAATTGACTCTGGGCAAGTCACTTAACCTCTCGGTGACACAGGCAGCTAAATAAGATTATGCTTTTTACCAAAAGGTATAGACCTACATTAGTAGACAGAGTTTTCTTACTGGGAGTTTACCATACCAGTGAAATCCCATGCCCTACCAAAAACAAGTATGAAAAAGACCAATAAAATGGCATAGGCATCTCCTCATTTCTTACCTAGTTGCCTGACCTTGGTTGAGAGTTCTCTGACTTCACTGTTCTCAGTGAAACTCTTTAATGGCATAACCTCATTCATCATCAACCTTTGAGATCCCCTCAGCCTTGATATTCCACCTCATTGCTACCCTCTGTCCTTCCTCCCTTTGCTTTTCACCATCCTTTTGTGTTTTGTCTTGCCTCATTCCTTGAGGGCAGGGACTGTCTTTTCCCAGCATTTAGCACAATATGTGTCACTTAGGTGCTTAATAAATGTTGATTGATTGATTTGCTTTTCTTATTACTATAGTTATTGAGATTTTGATAATTAGTTACTGTTTAGGGTAGAGTTTTTTTGTTCAGTTGTGTCCCTAACCTTTTCTGGGGTTTTATTGGCAAAGATATGGGAGTAGTTTGCCATTTCCTTTTCTAGGTCATTTTACAGATGAAAACTGAGGCAAATAGGGTGACTTGCCCAGGGTCATACAGCTAGGAAATGTCTGAGGCTAGATTTGAACCCAGGTCTTTCTGACTCCAGCGCTGGCACTCTATTCACTGAGCCACCTAGCGCCCCAATTAGTGAACTTTAGGTGAGAGATTTTTTATAGGCTCCTATACGAATTATATTGGATGAGAGAAGGGAACTTAGGTGAGAAATGCAAAAAAAGGTAAGATGGATGGGCCTGCTAACAGATTGGATATGGAGGGTGAGAGAATGAAGAGGTGAGGATGACACCGAGGTTTCAATCCTGGGGAACTGGGAGATTGTAGTGCCTCTGACAGTAATAGGGAAGTTTGGAAGGGAAGTGGTTTGGGGCAATGACAATGAGTTCAGTTTTGAAAGTGTTGAGTTTAAGATGTCTATTTTGTTGGCTTAACTACATTTTTCCTTTAGTCTGGAGGATAGAAGAGAATTCTACTTAACTGTATTTTTCCATTTCCCTTTGTGAGTCAGAATTTTTTAAAAAAGGTTTTGAAAGTTGCTTTATTTAAACTATCACAGTTGGAGATACAGTTATAAATTGATATGGAGGAAATGGTCTTTGTGGTAGCTAGTAAAGGATGAATAACAAATCAGAAATGGAAGAAGGAAGTAATGAACATGTAGAAAAGAAAGATAAGGAGATAGAGGTGTGTACAGAAGACTGGTGACGAGGGACACAGTTTAAATTTATTTGAATTTAGTTATTGAACACATGAAGTCTCTTTGGGTTGATAGGTAAAAGAAGTTATAAATTTCTTTATTGAGTTATTGTCTTGGATATATGAAAATGGTTGGTAGAAAAATATTTGTTCTTTTTTTCAAGATACTCCCTGTCTTTTACATGGAAATTAACAAGTATTAGGTTGTAATAACAAAACTTGACAACATTTGATTTTTGCGGTGATAAAGTAGCCCTCTGGGAATTGGCTGTTAAGTGGGTAGCCCCAGAAATTCCCTTACCTTCCTTGCCCTTGGAGATTTTCCTCTCCTTTCCCATTACCCCTCAATGAGCCCTGGAATCCCCCATCTGTGTCCTGCTTCCTCTTGGTAGCAGTCAATCAGAAAACATTTATTAATTGATTACTGTGTGCTAGGTACTATGCTGAGGGCTGGGAATACTAAAAGAGGGGCGAAAACCCAAAACAGCAAAACCAAAATGGTGCCTGTCCTCAAGGAACTTACAATTTAGTGAAAGAGTCAACATGCAAATATATGTAAAGTAAACTATAAATAGGATAAATAGGAATAATTAATAGAGGGCTGGCACTAGAATAAAGAAGAGTTGCAAAAGCTTGAGAAAGACAAATTCTGTATTTGGTGTCGAATTTCCCTCTCTCCTCCTGGTCATTATCTCAGCACCTTGTTTCACTTCTGCCCAGGAGAGTTGCTGAGTTGAGGTGTTTTTCATCTACTTTGCAGAAGCTTACTTTGGTCCTATGTGTATCTAAAGACCCAATATTACTACCTTGTGTATCTTTACATTTGAAGCATAAAGGAAAAAAGGGCAA